GCCAGGTTTCTTGCACTTGTGACATGTTTTCTTCTTGTAGTTGTGAGCAGAAGCTTCATCATTCCTTGAGCTTGATCGGGAAGACTTTCTGAAGCCTTTCTTCTTGGTGAATTTTTGGAACTTCTTCATAGCAAGTTCCCTTCCAATGTCTTCAGGATCATCAGAACTGCTGTCAGATTCTTCTTCAGATGAGGAAACAGCTTTTGCCTTCAAGGCACGAGTTCGCCCATAGTTTGGACCATAGATATCTCTTTTCTCAGAAAGCTGAAACTCATGTGTGTTGAGCCTCTCAAGTATGTCAGATGGATTGATTGTCTTGAAGTCAGGACGTTCTTGAATCATCAGGGCTAGGATGTCAAACGAACTATCAAGTGATCTCAGTAGTGTCTTGACGACTTCATGTTTGGTGATCTCAGTAGCGCCGAGGGCTTGAAGCTCATTTGTGATGTCAGTGAGTCGGTCAAAAGTGTGCTGGACATTCTCATTATCATTTCGCTTGAAGCGGTTGAAGAGGTTGCGAAGGACACTGATTCTCTGATCTCTCTGGGTTGAGATGCCTTCATTGACCTTGGAGAGCCAGTCCCAGACCAGCTTAGATGTCTTCAAAGCACTCATACGGCCATACTGTCCTTTGGTCAGGTGACCACAGATGATATTCTTGGCAGTAGAGTCCAGTTGAACAAATTTCTTGACGTTAGCAGCAGTGACACCTTCTCCAGTCTTGGGAACGCCGTTTTCGACGACATACCATAGGTCGACATTAATGGCTTCAAGATGCATGCGCATCTTATTCTTCCAGTAGGGATATTCAGTTCCATCAAAGACGGGGCACGCAGCGGAGACTTTAATTATCCCTGCAGTCGACATAGCTAAAACTCCAGGTGGTTAAACCGAATCACACAGAACAAGGGAGCACCTTGCTCTAATACCAATTGAAAGTGCGTTATATCGACTAGAGGGGGGTGAATAGGCGATTTTTATGAAAGTCTTCAAAACATGAAAGTTATGAAGACAAACGATAGAAATAAACCTATTACCATGCCGCGGAAGATAGACTACACTAGACAAGCCATAATCAAGTATTCAATGAAGTGAAAGCACAGTGACATAATAGCAGCAATGTAGTAAGGATCAGATAGGAAGATATTATGAAGCCATACAAAACATGCAGTCACTCAGTGAAGACAAAAGATAGTGCAAACATACAATGACTTCACAAGGAGCAACAGTAAGTAAAGGAAAGGGAAGATGAAACCAGTGACTCGTTGAAGACAATGATTTGTTGGACCAGTTCCAGTTGCTGTGGAAACTGTACGTCTGGTTGGGGTGGCTAGGTATTCAAACCTTAGGACACACAGTTCCGGACACCCAGTTCTGAACACGCAGCTCATGACACCCAGTCCTCACCGTAATCCCCTTGAGCTAAGGTCACATAGACCTCGCCCAATCACTCTGGTAAGTCTTCAAGGTAGACTCCCAAACCTTCACAGACTTTGTTCACTGGCAATCCACAATGTCTCTTGGATGCTCAGAACGCGACGCCTAACCGGCTGGAGGATGCATAGTCCTCAAGTGTAATAAGTCTTCAGATCACACAGACAAGAGGACTTAAGTGATGCCCAATTCTCTCTGGCTCTGGGTGGTTAGGGCTTTATCCTCGCAAGGAATTCTCTCTCAAAGGCTTCGAGGTGGGTTGCTCTCAAACGACAAAAGTCGTACTCTCAATCTAAGCAGCCAACCGTTTATGGTTGTGGGGGGTGGGCTATTTATAGCCACTTGGCAAACCGACCTGATTTGTCCGAAATGACCCTGGGTCACTAAGGAACTGACACGTGTTCCAACGGTCAGATTTCAAACTCACACGGCAACTTTACTTGGGCTACAAGCAAAGCTGACTTGTCAGACTCTGGACAAGATTCGCTCTCATAGTCTTCACTCGAAGACATAGGTGTTTTTGGTTAGGCATCACTTTAGTCATTCTGACTGGTTCTCTTGAACCCGTGAAAGTGCAACTATCCCTAGGTGGTTTTGGTAATTCATAACAACATATAGCTCATTGAGCTAATACTATTCCAAGATGATTATTTCAGGAAAGCTCAATGATTGGCATGGCATGGATGTGAAAGTGGAACCCTCAAAATGCTAAGGACAAAGGATTGGCTCAAGCTCAATAGCTCAAGACTCTTCATTTTATATTTTAGTGATCCAAGATCACATTGAGTCTTTAGGAAAAGCCAATACTATCAAGGAGGGATGAGGTGTTGCTTAATGAGCCTCTTGCTTCATGTGCTTAGTGATATGCTTCAAAACCCTCAACTACTTTCCCATATCCACATATGACCTAAACCCTAAGCCAAACTCGGTCCTACCGATTCTTTCTATCCGGCGCCACCGAGTTTCACTTGTCATAAGCCACTGCCAAACCCTAGCAATTCGGTTCTACCGATAGGGATCTCGGTCTCACCGAGATGGGATTGCAAACTCTCTGTTTCCCTTTCGTAACTTTTCGGTCTCACCGAAAGAGCGAATAGGTCCCACCGAGATTGCAATGTAAATTCAGTGTTTCCTTTTTGTAACTTTTCGGTCTCACCGAAAGAGCAAATCGGTCCCACCGAGTTTGCCTGACCAACTCTCTGGTTAGCTTATTACCAAAATCGGTCTCATCGAGTTTGTGTAATCGGTCTCACCGAGATTACGTTATGCCCAAACCCTAACCATATCGGTCCTACCGAGTTGCATGTCAGTCCCACCGAAAATCTCTAACGGTCACTAGGTTTACCTTTTCGGTCCGACCGAGTTTTTTGATTCGGTCCCACCGAGATTGGAAAACTGTGTGTAACGGTTGGATTTTGTGTGGAGGCTATATATACCCCTCCACCTCCTCTTCATTCGTGGAGAGAGCCATCAGAACACATACACAATTCCAACTCATATGTTCTGAGAGAGAACCACCTACTCATGTGTTGAGACCAAGATATTCCATTCCTACCATATGAATCTTGATCTCTAGTCTTCCCCAAGTTGCTTTCCACTCAAATCTTCTTTCCACCAGATCCAAATCCTATGAGAGAGAGTTGAGTGTTGGGGAGACTATCATTTGAAGCACAAGAGCAAGGAGTTCATTACCTACACACCATTTGTTACTTCTTGGAGAGTGGTGTCTCCTAGATTGGCTAGGTGTCACTTGGGAGCCTCCGACAAGATTGTGGAGTTGAACCAAGGAGTTTGTAAGGGCAAGGAGATCGCCTACTTCGTGAAGATCTACCGCTAGTGAGGCAAGTCCTTCGTGGGCGATGACCATGGTGGGATATACAAGGTTGCTTCTTCGTGGACCCTTCGTGGGTGGTTGCTTCTTCGTGGACCCTTTGTGGGTGGAGCCCTCCGTGGACTCGCGCAACCGTTACCCTTTGTGGGTGGAGCCCTCCGTGGACTCGCGCAACCGTTACCCTTCGTGGGTTAAAGTCTCCATCAACGTGGATGTAGGATAGCACCACCTATCCGAACCACGGGAAAAACATCCGTGTCTCCAATTGCGTTTGAATTCTCCAAACCCTTCCCTTTACATTCTTGCAAGTTGCATGCTTTACTTTCCGCTGCCAATATACTCTTTGCATGCTTGCTTGAATTGTGTGATGATTGCTTGACTTGTCCTACAATAGCTAAAATCTGCCAAGAACTAAAACTGGGAAAAGGTTAAGTTTTTATTTGGTCAAGTAGTCTAATCACCCCCCCTCTAGACATACTTTCGATCCTACAACCCCACTTAACAGTACGGTGGTTCCTATGACTCAACATAAAAGAAAAAGAAATACGAAAGATCTAAGTCTTCGAGCTCCATAGGCTTCATGTGGTGTCTTCTCTTGTCATAGTCTTCAATGTGAATATCTTCATATACCACCTTTGACTTCAATGTCTTCATACATTTTTAGGGGTCATCTCTGGTAGGAAAACCGAATCAATGAGGGACTTTTACCTGTGTTATCCTGCAATTCTCACAAACACATTAGTCCCTCAACAAGGTTTGTCGTCAATACTCCAAAACCAACTAGGGGTGGCACTAGATGCACTTACACATGGCGTGAGAAAAAAAGCCCGTGGACCAAGGCAAATGACAAAGGTAGCGCTTTGATCCATTGCACCATCTATTATGAGACATTTGCATTCAAATTATATGTCATGTATTGCAAGACGGAGGGAGTATGGACAAAGGGCCATTTGATTTTGTCATATGTCTTTTCGAAGTCCACCTTTTTGCCGAGATTTTCAAAGTCCACTTTGAAAAGCATCACTCTGTTTTTTTAGTATGAATTGTATTCAAGGCCTCATGTAAAATCAACACCCCCTCCATGATATATCTATCTTTAATAAAGACAGTTTAAACATGATACCTCAAAAATTGTACGACCTCACTAAGTCTATTCATAAGAGTCTTAATGAAGATTTTAAATCTAACATTTAGCAAACAAATAGACCTAAATTTTTGAATTTGTTTGACACCTTTAGTCTTAGGGATAAGGGTAATAATCTCATAGTTAAGTCTGACAAGATTCATATTGTTCTTATGTAAAGGACCCTGATAAGTGTGACACGTGTGGCACGAACACATAATAATTTTAAACGTTTTTATGACAAGTTTAGTGGTGCGAGAATGGCAATTTTAGTTATCAAATAGTATTACTTTCACATCTCACTTAATTAAGTTTCAGAACCTCTATGCATAAATAACGACACTACTACCAACCTGTATGACAAGTTATGATATTCAATGTTCACCCGCAAAATAATCATTCCGAAAAATTCCAAGCTTCAGACGGAGCCTCGCCAGGGTTGTTGATGCCAGAATCTACCACTGAATACACAGACGTGATCATCCCCGTCGCTTGCTGATCGGACGGCCCCAAACACACACTGATCTACAACTCCAGAATCTACCCACTCCCAGAGCTCAGCATCGATCCTCCTCCCCCCACCCTCTTCCCACGCGCGCACCGCACCACAGCATGTCGTGGCTCACGCGCTCCATCGCGGCCACGCTCTCCGGCGAGCCCGACCCCGACTCCGACGCCTCCGAATCCGAGGCCTCCTCCGCCAGCAGGCCGGCCGCGGAGGGGTCCTCGCCGCGCGATCCCGAGGACGAGGAGCCCGAGGAGCCCATCACCCCGAGCCGCGGCGTCAAGGACGACATCTCCGAGCTCACCGAGACCCTCACCCGCCGCCTGTGGGGCGTGGCGTCCTTCCTCGCCCCACCGCCGCCCCCGCCGGAGCCGGAGTCCTCGTCCCCGCGCGCCGCGCCCGCGGAGGCGGACGACGGAGAGGGGGGCGATGTGGACGTGGACGGGGACGGGATCGCGGGGATCCGGAGCGATCTGGCGGAGATCGGGGGCAGGGTGAGGAGCGGCATCTCCATGCTGCAGAGCAACCTGGCCGTGGCGGAGATCTCCAAGATCGCGTCCTCGCTCCTGCCGTTCGGGGAGGAGGAGCCCGACGAAGGGGAGCCCGTCGCCGGCGGGACCGAGGAGGTGCTGGTCTTCGTGAAGCACATCTCGACGCGGCCTGAGACGTGGCTCGATTTCCCCCTCTTCATCAGCGAGCGTTATGCAGACGGTAAGATTCAGTGCCGAACTGCCGATTCAGATAATGCGTAACTTAATAATTTGGTGCACCGGAATGAAATGGGTGGACGTTGTGGTCTCAGTTTCAGTGCGGAACTGCCGATTAATGAAGAAAGTAGATGCTGGAGGTAGTATTAGAACTTTCCTGCAAAGATCTCAAGCATGCTCGTCCTGAATTAGTTGATATGCGCACCTTAGAGTCCCGAAACTCCTTTCTCGACTGGTTTAGTTCTATGTAGTTTGTTGAATAGATTGAAGTCCCCACGTGCACTCTGGAATGCCATTGCACTTCCTTTGAAAGCTACCTACATCAGTTATCACTTATCAGTTCATTGATGCTAGCCTATTTTGTTCTACATTGCTTGTACACCTGCTTGGTACCAACTATACTTTTGGAATCTTGATGTTGTGATTCTGTCCATCTAGCGATGCATTTTCGCATATTCATGATTTTTCCGTTGTCATGCTATCAATTTGATTAACTAAATCAGGTCAATGTCTTAACTCTTAAGCACCATAACTTGTTTAATATGAATGTAAATATGTAATACCACGCTCCATCGGTTTTATAGCTTTCCACAGCAGTCATGAATGCTTCATATCTTTTTAGAGGTTGCGCATTATGTAGCTATGCACAGGAAATGATGTAAATATCACAGAATTGATTTCAAGCAGCGTTCCCCTATTGCTGCAGAATGCATCACTTTAGGATACATAGGTAATAGGTATCTCCATTTCAGCTTGACGTGATATTGAGCTAACATTTAGTTCTGGAATAAATAGTTCACCCTATTTATGCATACCCTCTCTACGCCTTTTAGTCCTGAATTGGTTTCCTGATGCTTTGTTGGCCTCTAGTTGCATCATATAACTCATGCTTGTCTCTCTCAAATAGAATCATGTTATGTGTAGTAGACCTCACTGATTACCTTAAATCTCTTACACAGTTTCTCTTGATCTTTAGATTTTGAACTGTCGAATGCTCAGTATGTGCATGCACTATCCATGGAACACCTTGTGCCAAGCTTATCAGATTTAAAGGTTCAGATTTGCTCCACTGATATGAGTGAAGCATGTTTCTGGAAGATATATTTTGTGCTTCTGCACTCAAAACTGAACAAACAAGATGCCGAACTTCTTTCAACACCACAGGTAGTTTCCTGCATTACTCACAGTATTTATCATGTTTTTGGCACATTGTTTTTAATTTATTATGGCTTTTGTGCTATGTATGTTGTAATGAATGGAGTGCTTCTTACAGAATTAATGGGACATTTAGCAACTCCAGGCTATATGCCTATATAAGGCTATAACTATAGGCTATAGCACCACAAGCTCTTTGTAGTCAAGAAATTTATTATCTTGAGAACTATTTGGTCCCTTTACAGGTGATATATGATTTGATATGCTATATTTAGTTATTTAGTACGCACATGTAAAGAACTGAATCTTCGATCCTGGAACTGGGTGATCTGTGGTAGAAATGTGACCCTTAGGCTATGTTTAGTTTGGGAACAAAATGGAATGGGATGTCATGGTTCCATTCCACTGGAACGGCTTGGTTCCGTTCCTGTGTTTGGTTCGGGACTTCGGATAATTAGGTGACCGGAAGGGTTGCATTTCAGTGTTTGGTTGGGGAGATGAAATAAAACGAATTCGGTTCAGGTCGCCTCTTGTATAGAAATGGTGAGATTACCTCTGCATATGTGCAATAGAAATGGTGAGATTACCTCTTTTATCTACAAATTATTTGAACTGAGCAAAAATTTCAATTGTATTTCAGTATAGAACCATCAGTTGCAGCAAATAGCGATATCAAACGATCCGACTAAGTAGGATCACACCACAACCACACAACATCAGTAGCTGCATCCATAAATAACTGACATGTGGTACACACTTAAGAGTTCATAGTTCAGAGTTCAGACTCCCGCATGCACCAACACTTCAGAGTTCAGACTTGACATTACCACACATGCACTTGCTGATTGCAGTTTACAACCAGTAGCAATATATTCTCTCTTGCTTGCATTTCTGTACTCTCTCGAGAAAAAGCTAGCTAGCTGAAAAGGCTAGCCAAGAAGATGAAGCTCTCAAGCGAGAAAGAAAAAGGTTGGCGTGAGTAGATCGATTCGGCTCAATCCTAGAGAACCTGGGGTACCTGAGGTAGAGAACACCATGCTAAGCAGAAGCACCTTGAACAGCGCGGCGTACAGCACCTGGGCGGTCAGCACGCAAACCACGGCGAACACCCCCATGGCACGTGGGTCTGCGTCGGCTTCCTTGCCGGCTTGCTCTTGGCCAAATCGGACGCCACCCAGCAGCCAACGGCTACCCCTCCCGCCACACTGCCTCTCTTCCTCGGTAGCCGCCGCCACTGATTTTCCATGGCTGCTAGCCCAACGCCACTGGTCGCATTCTCACTGGAAGCACCGCTGCTCTTTCCATCTGACCATCTCCGCTGCCACCATAGACGATGGGATATGATTGGGTGTGGTGAGAGGGCATGGACGGTGAGTCGAGAGGGGTGGAACTGTGTCTAAGGAGTATATTCTCTTTTGAGGAATGTGTGTTCTGGTTCCTTTTCAAACTAAACCCAACAATATGTGCTATGTGTAGGATGAACCCATTACATTCTACCCTATGCCTAAAACCAAACACACCCTTAATGCACAACTTATATTAACAGTTTCAGACTGCAAATAGGATGAATTCTGTTTGCTTAAATTGATTAAATCGTTTCGCTTCAGGTGGCCTATCCGTCCCAAACAAATTGGGCTAGGCTAGAGTTGAAACCCATAAGATCTTGAAACCAAGTCATGGTTCTGGCACGTGGATAGCTAACTTCCACACACCCCTGTCCATGGCTAGTTCTTTGGTGATATTCCGGTCCTTCAGATCTCTCTTCCTGGACTCCTCCCATGCCAAGTTTGTTCTACCCCAACCTCTCTTGACATTATCAGCATGCTTTAACCATCGCTATGCACTGGCGCTTCTGGAGGCCTGCGTTGTATGGCCACACCATCTCAGACGATGTTGGACAAGCTTTTCTTCAAACAGTGCGCCCCCAACTCTATCACGTATTTCATCATTCCGGACCTGATCTTTTCTTGTGTGGCCACATATCCATCTCAACCGGGAGGTATGCTAAGATGCACTTCAAGTTGTGACAGCATAGAATCAAGAAAGGGCGGCATTTACTTAATTGTTGCTTCAAACTTGATCAAGTGTTTTTATTTTTCAATGCACACTACCAGAGTGATTTTCTCCTTAGGTCTCATTTATTTTCTGTTCCAAATTATTTCCACATTTTAATTTCCCCTTTTCCCATGCAGATCCTAGAAGCAAGGGAGGAGCTGCTGCAAAGCTTACAGGCTAAGAATAAGCGAGGATCTGAAACTACCAGAGAATCATCAGAGAATGCGAATGAATCCTCTGCCCCAGCTGAAGAGAAGGTGATAGAACCTTCAATCATCCAAGACAAAGAAGTCTCCATATCAGAGGTCCGTTCGTTTGAAGAACCCACCTCCGACATCACGCCAGAAATCGAGCCCGAGAAGTTCCCAGTGTCAACCACCGAAGTGGAAATCATCGACAAGTCAGTGATCGAAGAAGAGCTGTTGTCAGTGAAAGATAAAATCAGGGCCCCACTCGTCCAGTCCAGACTCCACGCCGACACCGATGAAGACGAAGTGGACGAATGGCCTGACAATGACTCAACCGAGGAGCCCGAGGCGGTAGCGGCAGCAAGCAACAGGGCTTCGCTGGGGCGGGAGGAGGACGTGTCGTTCAGCGACCTGGAAGACGACGACGACGACGATGACGGCAATAAAGGGTCGGGCAAGTAGCTAAGATAATTTCTAGGTCCGGTCCCGGCACAATCATCCGAGCCTCCATTGGAGCAGTCCCACAAGCACACGCTCGCTGGCTTCACTCAAGGGACTACAGAAGGCAGCGGTGGATGATTACGCGGTCATTATTAGTCTCCCTCTTGAGAGGCGATGATGATGGATCGTGGAAGCTGGCTGGCTAGCTGGGCCTCCCTCGACTGGCCTGAATTAGAAGAGAAGCACAAAACCAATAATGATGGCAAGTAAGTACGTACATCTGTATCGTTTGGCCTGTTTCTGTACATAGAGCCCCCTGGTGCGGGGCTGCATCCTGTATGAACCAACCTGGCAACGTACCACTCTGTCCGTCCATCTGTGTGGGCATAATGGTGCAGGTGCGCGCACTCAATAAATCGCTCGATTAGCTGAAAGCACTTCGGTTTGGGTTCGTCGTACTTGAGATCCACCAAATGTCTTTGCTTGATTTCTGGTATGAGTTGCCCTGGGCGCAGACCTGCTTAAAAAGTTTTACGCACTTGTGGTAGTACATGCTGTCATGGAGTGAGCATGAGGGGAAATGATGAGCAGCTAACTTGTGTGAATCATGCGTCCAGCTTCTTCGAACTACAGTATATAGTGAGGTTGCTGGTACACGCATGATGGCACGCACGAACACCCAAGTAATTCTTGCGTAGATTCTTTGGGCCGGTTGGCGTGTGGGCATGCATCTCGCGGCCGGCACGCGAAGTGATAGGAATCGACCACGTCGTATGTGATCACCGGCGCGTCTCACTGGACCGCCGTAGCGAGCAGTGGGCTACTCCTGCACCCGACGACGGCGACGGTGCGCGCATCCAATCGGCGGGGCACCTACACGGACGGCGCCAGCACGTGAGCTCGTACGACGCCGCGCCTCCCAAACGAACAAGAAAGGGGGCGCTTCCCCTCGCACGTACTCCCTCCATTTTAGGCCTTTTTGCTTTCAAATAATTCACCAACTTATAAATCGAAAAGTGCAAAAAGTGATTTATTTTGCCAACAGACCCAACTTATAAGGAAAACGTTAGGTTTCAGCCGGCGGATCGCAGCGAGCGTCCACCGTCTTCTTCTTGCGACACGTGTCTTGTATGAGTTCGTCTAGTACTATTTTCTAGATGTTCTGTGTGACACGTGTGGCGTGTGTGGCTGGCGGAGAAACCAAAAGGTTTTCTACAACAATATCTGTGTTGCAAGAATTTCTTTCGCAACAACTTCCATGTTGTAAAAAAATGAAAACGAAAAAAATGCAACGTCACCAGCGGAAGCTGCGACATTTTTTTATTACAAAAAATTCTGTAACAACATACATGTTGCAGAAGTCATTTTCGCAACATCATCTATGTTGCAAAAAAAAAAGTGAAGGCGGATTTATTTTTTGCAACACAATCTCTATTGCAAATGTTTTTCCGCAACACGAGCTCTGCTGCAAAACAAAAATTGAGACACAACCTTTGTTGCAATGGTGAAGAAGGACCAGGTCGTTGGATTGTGCCAGATCTGACAGCTGCTGAGGTGGCGGATCTTTTTAAAAGATCCACCGACCAACGCCTAGTGCGGCCCAACTTATAAGTCACCTATAAGTCATAAGTTGCTCCATCTCAACTTAAAACTTATAAGTCACCCCCTTTTACGTGGGTCCCATCACCTTTATATTAAAAAACAAGGTGAGAAGATGTGGTCAGGTGACTTATAAGTCAGATGACAACCAAATAGACGTGACTTATAAGTCATTAATTTTAAGTCACCTGACTTATAAGTCAGGTGACTTATTGAAACCAAACAGGCCCTTAAACTATAGTGCGCCCGCGCTTTTCCAGGTTCAAATTTGATCATAAATTTAACCAACGAGATCAATTATAACGGGAGCAAAAATTATATAATTAAAAAGTTCTTTTGAATACGAATTCATTGATACAACTTTTGATTCTGCCGCAATCGGTTTCGTTGGTTAAATTTATGATTAAAATTAAAGCACGAAAACTAAGGACGCTCTATATTTTGAAGCAGAGGGAGTACCATGTAGTGCCCGTCGGTACGTGCCGCGGGCTAGTCGCTCGCACCAGAGTCCTACGACGGTGACGGTGGCAAACCTTGTACTACTTTGCACGGACGGCGTCGGGCTAATCGCACGCACCAAAGTCCTGCGCCGGACGACGGCGACGGTGACAGGCGCGAGCCTCGTACCGCCTGCACGGACAGACGGCGGGCGCGACTAGGCGAGCTCGCACCACGCCGCGCCGGCCGAACCAAGAAGAAAGGGAGCGCTCCCCCCTCGCGCGCGGCGGCATGGCAATTGGCAAGTGCAACCCTGGGGATCGGCCGGATGGTATCGGTGGCGGGCCCTTGCCTCGCGGAGACATGTGCAAGGGGACTGCAGCTGCGGAGCGATGTTTTATCCGCCGATGCCGACGTTGCCGGCGTCCCCGGTGGACTCGCTGCTCGCTAGATCGACCCCGAGAGCGACTGACTGACGGGGAGGGAGAGGTCTCTTTCCTCTCCTCGCAACGTGCGCTGTCTCCCGCACCCGGCGCCCACGACCGCGACCGCCACCCGTACCACATGCAGTATCCTCCAGACACAAACAAAACTCATTTCCAAACAAAACATGCGTGCAACGACACTCCACCCGTGGGCGTGATTCTTCTCCCTCGGTTCAGCATCGGCACGATCAGCAGCAAAGAGTTCGTGCTGAACGCGGATACAGAGAAAAAAAGAGCTTCAGACTGTGACTGGTGGCTACGTACGCTCGGTGAGTTGGAACGTCTGCAGCCAGACCATGGAACTTCCAGTCGACAGAGGACCAAGTTAAGTACTGCAGGAACTGGGCCACAAGGCAACCGAGAGCTGTTCCAACGCGCCGACTCAAACGAACGGTGCCTTCGTCCGCTTTTTGTCCGTTTGAATCGGCCGTTCGTCTTGTTTAACATTTAAGTCGGCAGTGCGCACAAGCCCGCGATCCATTTTATCTTCGAGCACAAATTTGAAAAAGGCCCGCGGCCGTAGATCATGACATCGGCCATGCTGTCGCCCAAAGTTCATGCCGGCACCATGCCAGCGGCCGGCATACAATGCGAGATTCAGAAAAACACCACATAGTTCATGCTGGCGCACTTGTCAGTGGCCGGCACACATGCCAGCACATAAAAAAGGGGCGGGAGTTCGACCACGCCATCGCGACCATGGTCATATGCCGACACACTTGCCGGCACACAAAAAAGGATGGCGCTCACCTTCAGAGATCACTCGTCGTCGAACTTGAGCATGTCGGCCTGCATCTTCTCGAACCACGGCCTCTTCCTTGGCGACACGGTGTTGAGATCCACCTTCATGATCTCCACCTCCGTCATCATGCTAGTCAGAGCCACTTCTTTCGCCTTGGTCTTGGCATTGGCGGCCTCGGTCCCTAGCATCTTGGTTTGCTTCTCCGCCTCCATCTCAAGCATCCTCGTGTGCTTCTTCGCCTCCATCTCAAGCCTCCTCCTTTGGATCTTCATGAAGGCATTCATTTGCTCTTCCTTGTCTTGCCAGCACTTCTCCTCCCTTGAGTCCTTCTTGGTCATCATGCCCTCCACGGTTGTGATCAAGGCGGTTGATGCCGCATCCCGCTTGCCCTTCTTCTTGAAGTTGGTCTTCCCCTGCGGCCGTGCCTTCTCGCCCTTCATAACCTCCTCCACGTCTTTCTTCCACTCACGCGCCATGAGGGCGACATATTGTGCATTGAACTTCTCCTCGTCTTTGATGACCCTTCAACAATGGGAGAGGTTGAAGGACTTGCCTTCGTGTTGGACCTTGAATGCCTCCAAAGCTTGGAATGTCTACAAATGAATTGCATGCAACCATATTGACAAATGGATATGGAAATGGACATGCAAGTATAAACGAAATGACACAAAGAGGGGCGCTTGAATGCATACCATGTCTTGCATACGGATGCCGCTCACAGAGTGTGCCTTGATGCTCTCAAAAGTGGCATAAAACTTGTTGCACTCTTATTGGATCACCTTCCATCACTTCGAAATGGATACACATCCGCGCGTGCTTTGCATTTGGTACGGCGGAAACTTCTTGCGTTCATGGAACTCACGATGGACACGAGTCTAAAAGGTTGATGCCTTTTGTTCGGCGCCGACCTTGGGGTCTTGCCCAATGTCCTTCCAACACTCACAAAGGAGCTTGCTCGGCCGTCGTGTATGCCTTCGTCCAGTTGCTCTTGCGCTTCGGCTTCATCCCGACGGCTTGGTTGGCGAGCTCGTCCTCGAACAAAGGCTCCCGGTCGATGTCCAACTTATCCTCTTCCTTGAAGTCGTAGTCCTCCGAAAACTCGTGGTCGAGCGGAAAGCCGTCCAGGTCCCGGCCGACCTGATCTTGCATGAAGACGTCCTGCATGCCAGCTTGATCAAAGGTCAATGGTGTGAACGGCCCTCGGCCGTCCTGACTTTGTGTCTCATCGGGATTGTAGCCAGCCGCGGCGGCACCGCCAGCGGACGCCGTACCACCGTCGAAGATGATGCTCTCCATGAAACAGTTAGCCATCTCGTCGTCGTCGGCCGCCGGCATTCTGTCGAATAGGTTGCGGGCTCCGGGGAGCATGACGGCTGGCATCTCCCGCGTGCGTTTCCTCGCCCCACCGGATGACGAGCCACCGGCTATCAGTGTGGCGTTCAGGTCGATTGGCGCGGGTGTGGAAGGTGCCACCACGCTCACCTCCGGCGGGCATTCCCCGGAGAGTCGGGAGGCTTGCGGGTAGACATGGAAACCGGGAATCGGGTGAGTCGTCGACACACGGGGCGACTCTAGTAGCACCATCTGAGGAAACGCAGACGACCCGGTACTGGCCATGGCCACGGCGGCGTTGATGAGCCCGTGCTGACCTAGGTTTAACCCTAGGTAGATCAGCGCCTCCCTTGTTGCCGCCGCGATGTGGGCGTTGGTGTCCTCCTGTTGCGCAGCGGCGGCGAAGGCGGACGCGGCCAGTGCTTCGTCCTTTGCGTCCATCGCGTGCCTCTGGCCCTTTCTCTTCGCTGACTCCCTGACTCGCTCCTCGGCCGTCAGCTTCTTCACGGGGGACACGGGGCTTGCCTTTGCAACGACACTCAGCAGCAAATAGCCCGTGTCCGTGCTGATACAGAGAATAAAGAGCTTCAGACTGTGACTTGGGTAGCTAGGTACTACTCCCTTCGTTCGGAATTACTTGCCATCAAAATAAATGTATTTAGAACTAAAATACATCTAAATACATCCATTTCAATGACGAGTATTTCCGAATGGAGGGAGTACGTACGATGAGTTGGAATGTCTGCAGCCGGATCATGAAACTTCCAGCGTCACGAGGATCAAGGTAAGTACTCCCTCCGCCACAAATTACTTGTTGCAGAAACAGATATAAATGGATGTATTTAAAACATTTTTTTTGGAAAAGGAGGTTAAGACCCTTGGCCTCTGCATCAATCGATGCATACAATCATCTTTATTTATTATTCAACAAAGGTCTAACAAAAACATAACATCAAGCCACCACTCACACCTACAAAACTCGATAGTGTCTCTCACTTCCCATATCTAACCCTGGTGTCGTTGCCGATCCATTCACATAACGTATCGGAACCAATAGCCGGTGCAGCAGACCTAAAGCGTACACCACCTGCATACATTCTAGACGCCGTCATCTTCATTGAAACACCGACCCATCTTCAGGAAAGAGATCCGCATCATCCTTGCCAGTCCGTCCATGCGTCGACGCCACCACGGCGACCAATGGCGCCACCGCCCCGCGCTCGTCCATCCAGACGCGAAGATTCTGGAAGATCTGTCATGTGCAGCATCTACCGACCAGGCATGACATAGCGTAGCACCCGTCGGCCAGGCATGACTTGACATCTCCACCAAAAACTTCGTGCAAGACAAAGCCGCGCCACCTCTTGCCTCTGTCTTTCACGCTGCTTCACAAACAATGCTCCCAAGAGAGAAAACGACACCGTAGTAGCGCCATCGTCCGATCTGGAAGACCAGATCCTAAGGTTTCCCCCGAAGCAGCACGAGTGGATCGACAGTAGTTACGCGACGACGCCTTCATCAAGGTAATGACGCAGAACGCCGTCATCGCCTGCCATTAGCTCGGTTTTCACCGGCAACTATGTCTTCCCGACTCGCAGCCGGAGCTAGATGATGGATCTCGAGATCAGACCATCCAGCGTCAGGCCGACCACCTCCGTCGGAGGAGATGACCACCACCGCCGGCTGCACCGGCCAGATCAGATCTGACCGGAAGCGCCGCCGACCAGACCACCATGGCCTCCACGCCGTCGCTGTCGATCCGACACCCGATGGCGCGCCGACCGCAACCGCCGCCCTCCCCGGCATAGGGCCGCGCCACGCTTGCAGCTGCTGCCGCCCGATAAAGGGCCGGCCGCAACCATCGCCGCCGCGCCGCAAAGATTGGATCGGCCCCCGAGCTCGCATCCTAGACGCCGCTGCCGCGCCGCGCACGCCGCCGCCAAGAGTTGCCGCCCGATGCCTCCTCGCGATCTGGCCGTCCCGCGCCGGCCGTGATGCTTGAAGGGTGGGGAAGCCCTGCCACCGCCCTGCCGGCCCGGCTTTGCCTGGCGGCACTGTGGACGGTGGCAAGGAGGGGGGAGGGATGGGTGGGGTCGAGTGGCGGCACGGGGTCAAGGGAAGACCTCAACCGATGCGTACGAGCGGCCAGATCTCCTCTTGCGAAAATAGATAAAAATAGATGTATTTAGAACTAAAATACATCTAGATACATTCATTTTTTCGACAAGTAATTCAGAATGAAAGGAGTAATAAAGGAGGATGAACTGGACGACAAGGCAACTGACTGACGGATTGACAGAGAAGTGGTTAGTTAGTTTCTGATCCCAATTCGCCAGTTGGAAGATAAGGCAGGCAAGAACATGCAACGTCAGGGAACGGTCCAAGAAAACCTAGCACTGTGAGTTCCTATTCGCCTCCACATGGACTGCTCTCCAGGCCAAGCCCAGGGACAAACCCGGGGGTACACGTCCTTCTCGCCGATAGCGACACGGATCAAACAAATAAGCAAACAAACAAGCAACGAATGTGTCCCATGCCAGTGCACATGACAGGGCCAAACAAAGACATCATGGAACCAGGTCCCCCGTACATTCACTCATTCAACCGCCAGCCTCCATTTGTGAAGCTGCCACTTAATACAAGCTACTAGCCTACTATCATCCAGAAGATGCAAGCATATGCATAAGAATTACTACAAGGGAAAAAAGACAGAGAGGTGAAGAGCTGAACATGTATCTCTGATAATTAACTGATTGATCGTGGCAAAAAGTACAAGGCGAAAACAAGTATTATCTTCATTTGAAGGTAAAGTCTGTCAACATGCAACAAAGGACCACCCGTCATCTAGGCACCCACCCACCCCCCCAACAGGGTTTTGATTTCTTGTTTCTTACAAAAGAATTTCGACGTACCCGAAAGAATAAAAGCGTCTCCCAGGCTTTTCTGATGATGATGATGATGATCCAAAGCTATATCTATCTACATTCTCCACATTTCAGTTTGTATGCTCCAGACCCCCCACCCACCCTAGGGCAGGCAAGGGATCAGAGAGAGCGAGCGAGCTTCCTCCTGTAAGCATCACACAGGCATCAGACGTTGACACCCTTTACAGAGGGCTCCTCTGATGCCTGCAAAGTAACGAAAAATAACCGCCGTCGTAACCTTCGGTCGCTGCTGTCATGGTATCAATGTCACTCCACTTGCTCGCCGATCAGGTCGAGGCCCATCACGAGGAAGGAGACGCCCTGGAACAGGAGGAAGTAGAAGTGGATGCCCTGCGCCGACAGCACGCTGCGAGCCGCCGCCGTCAGCAGGAGGAACGACAGCGCCAGCTCCTTCCGGTAGATCCTGTTGTGCTTCTGCTTCTTCTTGGGGGCGTCCTTTTTGGGGAGCGACGAGTCCTTGGCCGCCAGCCCGGCGAGGTCCGGCGCCGACCCGACCCTCTGCTGCTGCTGTGCGGTGTGCTTCTCGACGAGCGCCACGAGGTCGCCCTCGGAGGAGCGGCCCGACTTCTTGGTCACCACCCACTCGTAGGCGCTCCCGAGCTGGAACAGGCCGGAGATCATGGCGTTGAACTTGGTCACCGACATGGTGTTCTCGAAGAGGAGGTACGGGACGATGAACGGGAAGGACTTTGGGGATGGCAGGATGCTCATGATGGACATTGTCGCTGGAATGTAGCATACCACCCATGCGGGAAGCTCGGCCTCGGGGACGAACATTGTCATGGGGAGGATGACGCAGAAGAGGGTGAATGAGTAGAAGGGCAGGATGAGCTTGCGGAGGAGGAAGAATAGGAATATCAGGTTGCACTTCTTCCAGAATCCAATCTGCAGCACAAAGCAAGCAGCATCATTAGGCCAATTATCCATACATGCATTACACAACACACGACAAAATGGCGCTAGAATACAAATTAGGGGACAAAGATAAGAACTAAAGATGTGCCGGCATGGATGCGGTAGGATATATGTCAATAGTTCTACTTCAAGTGAACTGAAAAAGTTTTTTCTGTGTGGAAATTGACGACTACTTGAGTATAAGAGGGTGAATGTAACTTAACTAAATTTTGTCAAACAATTATGTACAAAAGCATTCTACTTGATGCCTCTTGACAATTACTGCATCTTGTACATTATCCTATAAATCCAAAACATGTTGCCAAGCTGTTGGCTTCTTGCAGAAAACTACATTTTAGTGAATAAACATACATGGCTGGACATTTTAACTTTCATAGTGCGTCATCAGAAAACGGCTCATACCTTGGATTTTATAATGTCCACAAAGCAGAGTCTAAACAGCTGCATGGGGCCTGAGTGCCACCTGTGCTGCTGCTTTCTGTATGCCTCATATGATTCTGGCAACTCGCATTGGCACTGAAAGGAAAGTTACAAAAGTTAAATTTTATGACTTTTTAATCTCTATGCAAAGGTAAACTCTGCATAAGTCATAGGGAAATTTGTGCCAGTACCTCAACATCATTCAGGTAGAGGAACTTCCATCCCTTGAGATGTGCCCGGACGGCAATGTCCATGTCCTCCACCGTTGTCCTCTCCATCCAGCCACCGGAGTCCTCAAGAGCCTTGATTCTCCACACTCCGGCAGTCCCATTGAACCCGAAGAAGTTGAGAAACGCTCCATTCACCTGCTGCTCCACCTCGAAGTGGAAGCACAGGTTTATGTTCTGTAATCTGGTCAACAGGTTCTCATCGTTGTTCACGAACGACCATCTCGCCTGAACCAACCCAACATCGTCCTTCCCCTGGAGGTCGCACATTGAATTTTGTCAGAAAGACATAACTGATAGGCTTGACTGTCAAATAATTGAAGCAGAAATACAACTACAGCAGTAAGAATTGGTCAGTCGAGTCGAACCTTGAAATGGGGCATGGCGCGCTTGAGGAAATCCGCCTGTGGCTGGAAATCGGCATCGAAGATGACAACATATTCATAGTCTTTCACATAGCTGCAGTTCATTGCTGATTTGAGGTTTCCAGCCTTGTATCCGTCCCTGATCACCCGGTGCCTGTACACTATCCGCACGCCCTCCCGCTGCCATTTCTCAACCTCCTCCTTGATGAGCGCCGAGGTGGTAGCATCATCGGAGTCGTCCAGCACCTGCACCAAGAAGTTTGACCTTGGCCAGTCGAGAGCGCAAATTGCGCCAATGGATTGCTGGTAGACCTGCAGGCATCCAAATGAAATAAGTTACCAACTGAATTGGACTAGTGTTCTTTTTACAACAACAAAATATCCTTAAGATTTCCCAAAAGAAGTGTACTACTCCCTCCGTCCCAAAATATAAGAACGTTTTTAACACTAACATAGTGTCAAGAATGTTCTTATACTGGGACAGAGGGAGTAGTAGACAGTTGATTGAATTTTAGTACGTATCTTTTCTTAGCCACTTCCCAAATTAAGTAGGTTGCTATAGCTTGACATCTTGATCTCCAATCACATGCCTCCTCAATTATTATCTGGTGACCGGTGACGACAGACTTCTAGTCCGAGATTTGGATTAATAAGTGCGCCTTAAAGAAAGTAGAGATGATATGAATCCCAACCGCAAACCAAATTCGGCCTTTTGTAAAGCAAATCACGGAGTTTGTTGTTGTTGGTGTGAGATTCATATTAAGTACGAGCACATCAACGTCAGAGAGCGAGCATCCGAGTTGTGGTTGGAGAGCTCGGGACAAAGATCCGAACAAAATGCAGTCTACGCTTAACCCGAATCCCCAGAATGCAGTCAGAGAGCATCTTCCCCCACTCTACCTGGAACTGGAATTTAGGCTGTCCTACTCGCATCGTGGAGCTCCAATTGCAGCTCAAGATCGATTGGGAAGCAAGGGGCAGATGATTGGAGCTTACCTCTCGCTCGTTGCACATGGGCATCTGCACGAGGACCATGGGGAAGTCCTCGTCGCCGGCCTCGACGTCGTCCTTGTCGGCGGCGATGGGCACGGGCTTGATGCCCCGGAGCTTGATCCAGAGGCAGCCGAGGCAGAGGACGAGGCGGTCGACGCTCTGGATCATGAAGAGCACGACGCAGGAGTTGGTGAGGAACTGCAGCGGCGGCGCGATGTACTGGAGGCGGACGCGCATCCAGCCGGCGTAGGCGGCGGCGGCGAGCCCGTCGACGGCGAGGAGGCCGTCCATTGCGAGCTGGCCCGGCATCTCGGGCATCTGGGGCATCTGGAGGTGCCAGCCCTGGAGGTAGGCGGCCACCTCGACGGCGAGCAGCAGCATGGAGAGCACGACGAAGACCCTGAGGCAGCCGTAGAAGCGCGCGCGCAGGGCCGTGCTCTCCCCGGGCGCGGCGTCGCCGTCCGTCCGGCCCGCCGCCACCCGCCGGCGCGCGGCGGCGGCGACGGCGAGCGCCGCGGAGGCCGCGCCCGTGAGGCGCCCCGCCGCGCGGTGCGCCTTGAGGAGCAGCACCCAGGTGATCTGGCGCGCGTTCTTGCCGCGCCCGGCCTTGCCGGCCGCCAGCCCCGCCGGCGACCCCGGCACCGGCTCCTGCTCCATCTCGGAGATCGACCAGTTGGGGTTCTCCATCTTGACCACCACCGGCGTCCCGCCGCCCCCGTCGCTCAGCCTCGCCTCCCTCCCCCAGAACGACGGCGCCATTGTTGCCACCCGACCTCCGGCAGACAGCAGCAGCAGCAGCCAAGAACCCTCCTCAACCAGGCAGCCCACGAAGAATGGCTTCTTCCTCCTCCTTCTCGGCCCCGCTTTACCCGCTCATAGAGGACAGCAGCTGGACGCCCTTAATAGCCCCCCCTGGACTGGAGGAGACACCCGCCAGAGCACGCACCGCGCGCAGAGCAGCAGGCCACGAAGGGGGGAGGCGGGGAAGAACAGCTCACCACGTCGCTCGCTCGCTCTCGCTCCAGGTCCAGGATACGATACGAGCTCCCCCTCCCCCGCTTTGTTTATTTGTAGCCTCGCCACCGCCGCGTCGACCCCTCCTACCGCCCGACCCGGCCGAATAAAAAACGCTCCTTTGGCGCCCCGAGACGCGCGCACACGACCGACCCGCCCGCCCGGCCGTGTCAAGGTGAACCGAAACGAGCAGCGGAGCCGGTGCCGGGTTTGGACGGACGCTTCGACGCTGTTTCGGGCCGAGATCGCCGTGTATTTCCTCCCTGGCGGGCGAGATGAGATCAACGTGGGCGCGGTGCGGGCGAAGGAGTTCGGCGCACGTCGGTGTATTCGTTGCGTGCGGTTGGGCCGCGGCCTGGGCTGTCGCCTGTCGGTGCCACGGCGGCCGGCGCGCGCGCTCTGGCCGGCAGCTTGCTACTACGTGCTGCATGCCGCTGCCGCTGCCGCGCCGGTCAAAACGGCCGGGCGGTCAGGGTCCAAGGTGGGAAATTCGGGGTGTGCTGTGTGCATGGGGGCGGATTACGGGCCAAAAATATTGGGGAAAAGGGCAAAAAGGCTGGGATTAGATTAGATCTGCGCCACTTGGCTGGAGATGGGGACAAACTGAGCCGCGATTCCATTAACAAACGTACTAATCCGTGGTAAACAACAAAAGGGAAAGTGATCGGCCGAATCTCTGAATACCCGGGACAGGATTAGTATCTCTGCAACTAAACAGACAAATGGACACGCAAACGTGGAGAAGATTGACACTGTTTGTCTGGGAAAAAGTCCATTTTAAACCTTGAATTCGTAGACGTCCGGCGAATCAAACCCTGAAGTCGAAATCCCTGTCATTCGGCCCCCAAACTAACTAATCCCGGTCCAAATCTAACCTTACTGTCGTTTCCAAACGGGGATTGCCGACGTGGCAATGGGGTGGCCGGGATGGGTCGTGCGGCGCGCGCCTGAGGCGATATTAGTGGGCCGGCCCAGTTCGGCCCGTCATTTCGCTTCGTTCTCTCCGCGTCCCTCTGCATTCATCCTTCTCTGGCGACGGCAATGGCGACCGGCGGTTGATCGCCACCTCTGCGACGATCGTGACGGCGCGACGGCGCATCGAAGGAGCAGGTAATATTCTGGATGCCCTCCTCCCTTGTTATTCATAGGTTGGAGTAGTTGCGGCATTAGGGTTAGGGTTTGAGCGGCAAATTTGGGGCAAAATTGGGGACGATTTGGGTGACAGAAAAAGATTGATTTTTGTGAATAGATTGATTTAGGAATAGATTGTTATGCTTTATTTTGATCGCGGTGTATGTTTTTTCAGTGAAATCATGGACCCAAGTGAGATTTTGAACGTTCGGTTTCATATTGGAGGGAAGTTCATCCACATTGGTCCAAATTTGGACTATGTTGGGGGAGATCAAGCAATGTCAGAGATTGAGAGGGATAAACTGTCACTGCAGGAAGTGAAAGGCTATTTAAAAGATCATACTCGGTTGATGGAATCGATGAAGTTCTATTTTCTGCTTCCTGGAAAAGAGCTTATCAATGGTTTGGTGTTCCTTCATGATGACAGTTCGTGTGTGAAGATGTCTGACTACATTTGTGTTGGAGGAGTTGCTGATGTGTATGTGGAGTATCATGGAGAGGAAGATAGCAATGACAGCAGCAGTAGTGGGAGTGATTTTGAGGATGAACTCATGGAACAGAGTGATGATGATGAACTAGATGCAGTTTTAACTGCTGAAGAACCAGATGCACTTATAACTGCAGAAGAACCAGTGCCAGTAAATGCTGTTGAACCTGCAGAGTCTGACACTGATGTGCTCATACCTGATGAAACTGGTGTAATCACTGAAAGAATTTGCAGCCCCTTGAAGCAGAGAAGAAGCAGAGTAGTAGATGTGGATGAAATGGCAGGCATGGAAGGTGTTTTTTCACAGGTTTTGGATCCAAGTCAACCTGCATCAGCTTGTGCTTCTGAACCTCAGGCTTCAGGGCATGTGAATAACCAAATGGTGATAGCTGCAAATGTTGACAGTGCCAATCAAAATTCAGACTCAGACAGTGACCCTGAATACATTGGACATACTGATGATAGTGGGGAGGATTCAGAAGTTGTGGAGCTCAGGAGACATGCTAGGAAATTTAAGAAAAGGATGAGGGACTCCAAGAGCTGGATAGGTAGGGATGCCACAGGGCCAGTGCCAATTGAATTGATTGCCAACATGGAGGAGCAAATTGAAAGAGAAGAAATGGATTGGAACTATGATTCATCTGATGAGGACTACATCTATGATGAAGATTCAGATGGTCATATAAGGAAGAGGAAGAGTTCATTCCCAAGATACAACCCTGAAAGTGAAGTACCACATTTTGCTTTGACCATGGTTTTTAGAAGCAAGAATCAGCTATGCAAAGCTTTGAGAAGATATGGTCTAGTAACAAAGAGGAGCATTAAGTTCATGAAATCTGAGTGTGACAGAGTTAGGGCAAAGTGTGGATGGCCTGGCTGCCCATGGCTGATATATGCAGCCAAGAGATCAAGGACTTCAAGATTCCAAGTCATAACATACAATGATGATCACCACTGTGCACAGAACAGATGCAACAAGTTGGTTACTGCAAAGGTGATTGCACAGAGGTATGAGCACTTCATACTGGCAAATCCTATGTGGAAAATTGAGAGCATGAAAGCAACTGTTTTGCAAGATATGTTTGCTGATGTCTCCACTTCAAAGTGCAAGCATGCAAAAAGATTTGTCATGGACAAATTGTTGTGTGGAATGAACAATGAATACACTAGAGTGTTTGACTACCAACTTGAGCTGCTAAGGAGCAACCCTGGAAGCACAGTTGCTGTTTGCATGGACCCAACCAACATGGAGGAAAGTGTATTCCAGAGCTTCTATGTGTGCTTTAATGCAATGAAGCAAGGATTCAAGGCTGGTTGCAGAAAAGTAATAGGCCTTGATGGTTGTTTCTTCAAAGGTGCAGTGAAGGGTGAGCTCTTGTGTGCCATAGGTAGAGATGCAAATAATCAGATGTATCCACTAGCCTGGGCTGTAGTTGAGAATGAAACTAATATCACATGGAAGTGGTTTCTTGGGCTGCTCATTAAGGACTTGGAAATAAACAATAATGGAGATGGCTGGGTTATTATTTCTGATCAGCAGAAGGGCTTGATAAATGCAGTGAATGATTACCTTCCTGCTGCACAGCATAGGATGTGTGCTAGACACATTTATGCTAATTGGAGGAAGAAACATAGAGATCATGAGTGGCAAAAAAAATTCTGGGCAGTTGCTAAGGCTTCTAACAAGCAAGATTTCAACTATTATAAGGCCAAGCTTGCACAAGTCACTCCTGAAGGGGCTAAAGACATCATGAGGACTGAGCCACAGCACTGGGCAAGGGCTTTTTTCCCAGTTGGTTCAAACTGTGAATCAGTTGACAACAACCTATGTGAGTCATTCAACCATGCTATAGTTGATGCTAGGTTTTATCCTATTATTTCTATGAATGAAAAAATTAGGAAAAAGGTACTTGTGAGAATTCAGGAACAAAGAGAGAAAGGTGCCAACTTTAAAGGAAAAATATGCCCTGTTGTTTTTAAGAAGCTCAAGAAAAGTATTGCTAGAACACAATATCTTGAAGTGCTATGGAATGGAGAAAATGGATTTGAAGTGAAGCAAGTGAATGGAAGAGGAAGGCAGTACACTGTGGACCTGGAAAAATGGACATGCTCTTGTGGGTACTTCCAGCTGGCAGGGCTTCCTTGCCACCATGCAGTTAGTGCCATCTACAAGTGCAACAGAAAAATTGAGGATTTTATTGCTCCTTGCTACTTTGTTGAAGTGTTCAACAAAATCTATGAGCATTGCTTGCAGCCTGTGGAGGGTGAAGAGATGTGGCCAGTGTCACCCAATCCTAGGCCAGTGCCTCCTGAATATGTTAGGTTGCCAGGAAAAGAGAAGAAAAAAGGAAGGCCTAAAAACAATGATAGGAGAAGAGAGGAAACTGAGCAACCTAAGGGGAAGAAAATGAGCAAGCATGGCACAATTATCAAATGCTCCTTGTGTGGTAACCCTGGACACAACAAATCAGGATGTAAGCAGAATCCAGAGAGAGGCAAGAAAAAAATGCTCATCTTGCTAGAACTAGCAAGAAAAAGAACCCAACTGAGGTATTTGTTGTTGTCATGTACTTATCTATTGCATATTTATCCTGCTTATTACTCTTGTGTTGGAACTTATTGCATATTTATCCTTAATTTGCAGCAAACATCTGCCTCTGCCTCTGCATCTGCTCCACCAACAACAAGTTCAGTACCAACATGTCCTTCTACTGGGACCAACAGGTTCAAGCCTCCAAGAAAGAGAACTGCAACTGCTGAAGCTGGATCATCTACTTCCACAAGGACAGGATCTGGAGCTAAGAGGGGAAGAAGGCCTGCATCATCAGTGCCAAGCTTCAGATATTTCACTTGCAGTGGAAACTACTAGTTATAGTTGAAAAGGGCTGCATCTAGTTCTTTTGTTGAAGTTGCAATGTTTCAAAACATTTCTGATGTAATGTTGCAAACTTATCTTTTGTTCATGGCTCAAACTAGAGGTCATGTATTTGTGTGGGAGTGTGACTTATTTCAAACCTAGTCTATGTGAAATTAAGTTGATCTGAATGATCTTTCATCAGTGGCATTTCCTTCTTATTACTTGCTATCATTGTTTCTAAATGCCATCCTGACAATGCATTATGTTACA